TTTGGCGAATATCCAGCCCCTTAGGAGAAAAATATCTGGGAGTTATGCCTGCACCACTGTGGGTTGGGCCACCATGCTTCTCTAGCAACTGCAAACATTCAACAAGTCCAAGCAATACAAGAACTTGTTGATAGTAACTGGCTTAGTCAACATATCAGCTGCATTCTCATCAGTATGAACCTTCTACAACAGTATCTCCCCAAAAGCGATCAATTTTATATCTTGTGGTACCTGACATCAATATGCTTGGTTCTCGCATGGTACACCTGGTTCTTAGCTAGATAAATAGCACTCTGACTGTCACAATGCAACTGAACTCCACCTTGCTCAACGCCCAGTTCCTTTACTAGCCCAGCAAGCCATAAAACTTCTTTAGCAGCTTCAGCTACTGCCATGTACTCAGCGTCAATTGTAGATAATGCCACAATAGACTGAATTGTTGATTACCAACATATAGGTCCTCCACCAAGAGTAAACACATACCCAGTTGTAGACCTTCTGCCATCCAAATCACCTGCGTAGTCTGAATCAACGTACCCACAACTGAAGAATCATTCTTCTGACTGCCAAAAATAATTCAATGTCCTACAGTACCCTTCAGATACCTGAAAATCTAATTGACTGCTTCCCAATGTCGTCTTCCAGGTTTAGCCATGTATTTGCAGACTTGACTAACAGCATGAGTCAAATCAGGACGAGTACATACCATAGCATACATCAAGCTGCCAACTGCACTAGCATATGGAACATTTTTCATGTCTTCCATTTCTGTATCAGTCTTAGGACACTGTTCTGAAGAAAACTTAAAATGATTTGTCCAAGGAGTGCTCACAGGCTTTGCATTGCTCATCTCAAACCTTTACAGCAATTTATCAACATAGCCTCGTTGAGATAGACATAACAGTCTTGAGCCTCTGTCTCGATCAATCTCTATTCCAAAAATCTTCTTCGTAGGTCCCAAGTCTTTCATGTCAAATTTCTGGCTCAATAAAGCTTTCAAACCACGAACATCACTCATATTCTTTGCAGCAATCAATATATCATCAACACACAGTAACAAAAAAATAATAGAACCATCATCAAGACTCTTCATATAAACACAACAATCATACTCACATCGTATGTAGTCAATCTGCATCATGTAGGAGTCAAACCGTTTGTACCATTGTCTTTGAGACTATTTCAACTCATACAGCGATTTCTTTAACCTGCAAACCAGATGCTTTTGTCCAGGTTGAGCGAGCGAACCCTTCTGGCTGCTCCATGTAAATTTGCTCCTCCAAATCACAATGTAGGAAAGCAGTTTTAACATCTATCTGCTCCAAATACAAGTCTCAAATAGCTACTAATGCAAGCATTGCCCTGATTGAACTATGTCTGACCACAGGAGAAAAAATTTCATCATAATCTATTCCCTTCTGCTGCGTCCCTTCTGCTGCGAAAAGTCGAGCCTTGAACTTTTCCCCTTCTTTTTCTGATACTGTTGGTTTCCTTTTGTAGACCCATTTGCACCCAATAACCTTCTTTCCCTCTGGAAGCTGAACTAGCTCTCAAGTGCGGTTTTTCTGCAAAGACTTCATCTCCTCAATCATTGCACCCATCCATTTTTCTTTCTCCTGGCTAGTGATAGCTCCTTGAAAAGTGGTTGGATCATTGTTGCTGATGAGAAGTGCTGAGACTAAGTCTTCTTCATAACCCAATCTGCTAGGAGAGCTTACATTGGTGTGTCTCTATCTATCTCTGACTAGATTATAATTCTGCAGATCATCAGGAATAGATTCACCAGGTGTTGGATTTGAACTTTCATCTCTCTCAGAAGCTACTGACTGCTGTTTTAAATCCATCTGCACTACATCTGAACTGGAACTCTTCTCTGACACCTTGTCTTGATTCTGTTATAACATAAACTGCTCATAAAAAACTGCATCTCTGCTGATCACCATATTCTTTGCAGTCGGATCCCAAAACTTGTATCCTTTCACACCTTTCTTGTAGCCCAAAAAGATGCACTTTTTTGGATTTTGCATCAAGTTTGGATCTTTCATCTCCAGGTACATGCACATAAGCAGGACATCCAAAAATCCGTAAATTATCAAATTTAACTGGATTACCTGTCCATACCTCTTCTGCGACTTTGCTACCTAATGATGCTCGAGGTGATCTATTGATGAGATAACATGTCATATTCACAGCCTCTGCCCAGAAACTCTTAAGAAGCTCTGCATTCAGTCTCAAGAACCTTGCCCTTTCAGTTAAGGACATATTCATCATTTCTGCCACATCATTCTGTTGTGGTGTCTTCCGCAATGAAAAATGTCTCTGAATCACATGCTCCTCACAGAACTTCTGAAACTGTGAATCTGTGTACTCTGTGTCATTATTAGACCTCAAATACATGATATTTCTACCAGTTTGGTTCTCCATCTCAGTTTTCCATATCTTAAATTTAGAGAATATTTCAGATTTTTGCTTCAAGAAATACAACCAAATTTTCCTGGAGAAATCATCAATAAAGGTAACGAAGTACTGAGATCCATCCAATGACAACTCCCTAGTAGGGCCCCATACATCAGAATGCACGTAATCAAGAATCTTTTCAGTTTTATGTTTTCCGGTCATAAAATTGGTTCTAGTCTGTTTTCCAAGAATACAAAACTTACAAAGATCGAGCTTGCAGCTTTTAACTCCATACAACAGAATTCTTCTATGCAATTCTGTCATCTCACGTTCACTGAGATGACCCAGACGCATATGTCATAGTTTTGTGTTGTCATTATCTGACTCAACAGAATGAACTCCACCTACAACTGTACTCCCCAATAGTTTGTAGATATTGCCTGCAATTAACTTTCCTTTCATCACCGTCAGTGCGCCCTTAACAATTCTGATGGTTTCTTTATCCTCATATGCCTTAGGAATGAAACCATTTCTATGTAAAGTGCCCAAGGAAATCAAACTCTTCTTTAGAACTGGAATATGTCTGACATCACATAATGTTCTAACTGTGTCATCATACATCTTAATCTTGACATCTTCAATACCAACAATATTGCAACATCTATCATCACTTAAATAAACTAAGTCATAATCAGTTGACATGTATGAAGTAAACCACTCTATGTTATGTGTTATGTAATAAGAGCATCCTGAATCAAGAATCCATGCATCTATGAACTAAGTTGATGAAACTGAAAACATATCGTCATCACTGCAATCTGAATTGTCACATACAGACTTCGATGAAATATCATCTTTCTCCTCAGTCTGCTTCTTCAGTTTTGGACAATATTTCTTCATATGAGCTGGCTCCTTGCACTTGTAGCAATGAATTTCCTTTTTGCCTCTAGACTTTGATCTAGAATTTCGCCTTCCAGATCTCTCCTTCTCTTTCTCCTTCTCTTTCTTTTCTTCCTTTCGCGTACCTGCTTACTCTTCACATATAAACTGTCACCTTGAGAGTTTTCCCCTGCATTCTATTTCCGCTGGTTGTGAGCCAACAATGTTGCAGTAATCTCATCCACTTTGATAGTTTATTTCCCATATGTCAGAGTAGTCACCAGGTGTTCATAGGAAGAGAGCAACGAACAAAACAAAATCATCGCTCGATCTTCATCCTCAATACTCACATCAAGCCGTGATAAATCAGTGATTATTTGATTGAAGCCATTCACATGCTGTGCCAGATCAGAACCTTCCTGCATCTTCAGCCCATACAACTTTTGTTTCAGATACAACTTGTTTGTCAGAGATTTTGCCATAAACTGAGTTTCCAATTTCTTACAAATTTCTCCTGGAGATTTCAGATTCATCACGTGATACATAACCTCATCTGTTATGCATAGTCGTATTGTCGCTGCCGCTCGCTGCTGCAATTCTTCTCAATCTTCATCCTCCATGGCATCAGGTTTTATTGCCCGCAAAGCTTTCAAGATTTTCTGTTGAGCCAATAGATCTTTCACCCTGGTTTATCACAATCCGAAGTTATCAGTTTTGTCGAACTTCACCACCTTGAATTTTGCACTAGAAAATGTCATCTGAAAATTAACTCCTGCAACAAAATTCTGCAACAAAAAATTTTTTGCAAATTTCTCTGCAAAAATCTTTAGAACTTTTTTTTTTTTTTGTAAAGAGGAAAGAAAAAATTTGAAAAAAAAAATCCTTCAAAATCTTCTAACAAAACAAAAAATTTCATCTCCGTCTCCAAGAAAAAAATAAATATTTCATTTATTTCCTCTCCTTATCCAGCAAAGGAAATTTTTAATTAAATTTGCTTAATTTAATTTAAATCAATTTAATTAAAAAGCTTTCCTTTAATTTTGAAAAGAAAACTTTCCTTCACTGTATCTTTCGTTTCTGGAAATTCAATATATATATATATATACTATGTTTTATGTCCACTGTATATTTATTGGTATCCTATACTCGGTATTTTTTAGGAATTAATAAAGTTGCTGTTTTCTTCCTTTCTTTTATCACCATTTTTCTGATAGCTTTATAAAGCAATTCATGATGTCTGAAACAATTTGATTACAGAGATCTTCTCTTCAATTTCAGGGCTAACACCCACTCTTCCTCAAGGTCTTCCAACGATGATAATTTTAGTAGCCTTTTGGATTGCAAATTGTATTGCAATTCTCTTCTTTTCAGGTCTTGATAGTACTCCTAACTGTCATCCTTAAGGAGTTTCATAATATTTGGACAACATCTAATTTTATAAGTTCTTAAGCGTAAGAAACATATTGCAAGAATCAAGCTTGGATTCGTCAAAGTAGTTTCGCACGTTGGCAGAAATATAGAGAAAAATCAACAATTGCCTAAACCGAGAAATGTGCCGATAGAAAGCCCTAAAGTTTAGGAAGCAGGCTAATAAATCAAACGCATCTATTTGCCTGAAGAAACAAAAAACTAAAGAATCCAAAACAGCCAGCTAAATAGAGCAGCCAATAGAAAGAAATTCATCAATCCAATTTACGGAAAGGAGGAGAAAGCGAGAAGCAAACCTCAACATCTACCACAGTCCCGTGCCTTTCAAAGAGGCTCTTGATCTCCTCGGCGGTGCAGGTCCAGGGTATGTTCTGCGCAATTAGCCTCCTCCTAGGCGCTGCAGGTCTATCTTCGGATTCCTCTGCTTCTTGTTCAGATACCAACGCGGCCGAGCTTCCGACCGGAGAAGAAGCGAGAGGAGTGCATTGCCGCTGGATGAGGGTTGCTTTATTTCGTTGGTGAAAGAAGGGGAGCAATGAAGAGGAGGAGGAGGAGGAGGAGGAAGTGAAGAGGGGATTCAGTTGATAGGATTTTGACGACGGAAGAAAGAGGAGTGTTGGAGCAGAGAGTGGGAGATGACGGACGAGAGAAAGCGCCATGGGTGCAGCTCGAAATAGCCATATGCCATAAACTGCAGATTTTGTGATAGAGAACGGTTTTGCTAATGTAAACCTTGTTTAGTCTCGTAATCCGGATCGGTTTTCTCAATACCGAGTTGCCTAGGCCGGTTTTGGGGTGTAAGGCTCCGTTTGGGGCCGCTTTTTTGCGGCTTCGCGGCCCTAAATTGCGATAATTTGACGTTTGGCTCGTAACTTCGCGGCAATTGAAAGCTAAAACGGAAGAGAAGCGGAAAGCCATCTGCTACCCACGGCGCAGCTTCGCAGCCTGAAAAAGGCTTGTTTTGCCCTCGCGAAAATGCCCGCGATCTTCTTCCCGCCTCGTCCCGCCCTCCCGCACACCCGCACGCGAAAAAGCCCACGGCGCAGCCTCCTCCACGCAGCC